TAACCGACCGCGGGACCGCCTTCACATCAAAACAGTTTGAACGATATGGCAAAGACAACGACATCAAGCACATTTTGAACGCAGTACGTACATCCCGTGCAAATGCTCACGCCGAGTAAACAAACCGTACGATACTTTCAATGTTGCTACCATCGACGAAAGAAGACAAAAAGTGGGACGAAAAACTGCGAAACATCCAGTGGTCGATTAATACATTAACCAACAAGACGACAAAGAAGACACCTCATGAGTTACTTTTTAATTTTGAACCGCGAGATATCTTAGCCAACAAACTCATATTGACACTAACTACGAACAATAAATCAACTGATGACATCCATCAAAAGCGTGAAGAAGCAGCGATGAAAATCAACACAGAACGAGCTAAAGCCAAACAACGTTATGATCACCAACATCGACGACCAAGAGAGAATGGCAGAGAATGAACCGCCCAGTACTGGTACGTCACGCAAGTTAGAGCCGAAGTATAAGGGTCCGTTCCAAGTAGTCACTGTTTTGGAACGTGATCGTTACGTCATCGAAGACTTGCCTGGGTCGCATCGTAAGCAAAAGTTATTATATAAGTCTATTTATGCCTCAGACAAGTTAAAGCCATATTGTAAGCTACCAACTACTGATGATAAATTATCTGAAAACGGAGATAAAGAGCACGACGAACAACTACGATGCGAGATCGCATCGGTTGGTCAGGAAAGGGGACTGTTTGTTTGTCAATGTTTGAAATAACGTCAGTATCCAAAGGAGAGTGTTCGATGTGATTTGGCGGTGTACGGACGTTCGCGTCGTCTAATTAATTTCAACCAGTATTCTTTTAATATGATATTATTGTCGAAAAGCCAAAAGAGCGCTTTTTACCTTTATAAAAGCAACTTCGAAACAATTTAAGCTCAATACCTACAACATTCTTTGTTTGTGCATGCTACACACACAAAGATTGGTTTTTCCCCTTTCTTTGACTTACCAGTATTCTGGAAAAACTAAAAAGTGGTGTTTCCGTTAAAGTGATGTGTGATGAGTTTAAAATAAATGATATAAAAAAAAACTTCGCGCATTTATAAATGGACTAAAAAGTAATTCTTAGTCCCATAGAATTTGTTTTGATAACTTTTGATTTTGAAATTTTACCAAAAGTCATTACAAACCATTTATGAGATTGAAAATGAAAAGCGTGGGCGTATGTAATAGACCCGTATTTATATGAAACGTAATATATGTATGTATGTGGATATATGAATAACGACCGCTTAAAATCGATCTCAAATTTGTACTTTCCCCGTAGAAATTTTAGGTTTATGTTATGTAGTTTGACTATTGTAAATGAAATCTAATGCTTTCTATTGCATGCGCCACATGCTTTTTATTTTAAATCTCATAAATTGTTTATAATGACTTTTGATAAAATTTCAAAATCAAAAGTTATCAAAACAAATTCTATGGGACTGAGAATCATTATTTTCTACT